CTCCTCTATTAGCGATTTACTAGAGTTTTACATTGTGAATATTCCACGTTGTAAGACAGTAACGTGAGATCGGAAAACGTAAACAAAAATTAGTTTGTAGCTTTGTTATTAGCTTTTTTGCCTATTCATACCGAGACGTATCTTACGTAATTGATAGTGTAATGACATAATTGATTAGTATAACTGTTGCATGCATGCGAAATGCAATCGTTTCATTTGCGTGTCTATGCATTTTCGATTAATTTTTTTTGTTTCATTGCGGAAATAATGGTGCAATTTTTTTGATAACGCGTCACGTGTCCAAATGTATATTTCGTGCATCGTTTATCAATCGACGACTAGATACTATATATAAGTAAGGTGACTATATTTTCTGAGAGAAAATAATAAAAGACTAACCTGAAAATTTCAGGGTTTTGTTCCAATATGTTTCCAGATTAGTTTGCGACCAAATTGGAGATCGACGAGCAAAAAAATTCTGTGACTATTAAAAGTTTACGTATTCTTGAAGTTTAAAACTAATTTGACTATGTTGAAACAAAATTTTGGTTTCTTAAATAGGTTTCGTTGTTTTTGTACTAATTCTCGTGTTAATACTATGTGACATTAGACATTAAAACGCTAAATAAAAAATAAAGAGCAAAATTGTAATATTAAGGACTACATTTTAAAAATAAAGAAGAAAATTGAGTTGTAGGAAAAAATGAATAAATTTAAAGGACAACTACTTGAAATAAAACACTTTAAAATAAAGGACGGATTGTTCACTGTATATACACGGAAAGAATTTTCCCTTATTAGAATTTACCTTAAAATCATGCTAATCGCGGTACAATATTTGAAGAATTTTACAAGAATTTCTCTGATTAATATTTACCACAATAAAAAATATTAATATGTACATAGTAAAATTATTCCAACATATTTTGATATCTTATTGTAGTAGATATTAATTTTTTTATGGTAAATATTAATCAGAGAACCTTATAAAATTCTCTCTGTGTATAAGCAAGGTATGGGAATATTTTGTATACACAAATCGCGAACGCTCGTATTTACGCAGCGTTTAACGTCAAAGTATCGAAACGTGGTCGGCCACGTTGAAAGCAGAAGATACGCAACACCGATTTCATCGATAAGCCACGCAACATCGCGATTTCGCGCGTTGGCCAATCGATACAATCGAGCTTTCAACTCGCTCGCGTGTTATTTCTACGCTTTTCACGCTTTACACGCGCGCGTGATACGTGCCAAGCCAAGAGGCAAACGTACATATATGAAGGGCCAGGCAGATTCAACCGTAAGCACGTCTATGGATATCCCACTACTAAATATAACTGCTGTTTGCTGGGGCTATTTCCTACTCGAGAGATAAACGCGAGTCAAGAGGAAGGAAAAGCACGCGCATTTTCGCGTTGAAAGAAATTGATCTTTCTCTGAGATTTTTTGGTTAACGTTCTTATCAACGCTTATCGCATATCAAAGTGATAAACTAATCTCAATCACTTTGTGAGAGTGCATTCATAAAGAAAGGAACAAATAATTACTTGGTTTCAAACAAAGTCGGCTGCGTTTCATTTAATGTCGAAAATCGAAATTAAATTTTTATGTAATTTTTTGCACAAATTTTCTGAGAAAATTACTAACAAGTATATATATATATATATATGCTGAATTTCAACTTCAAGAATTGATATAAAAAGTTACTGCAAACATAGAAAATTGAAAATAATGAATTCAAATGAATATATGAATCTTGTAAGTAATTGTGAAATTATAACCGATGATTTTCAGAAGTTTTATAATTATTTACAGATTTATAGATTCTTTTCTGTAGGTTCACAAAATTGAAGTCTTCTATTTATCTATATTTTTATCAATATTATATACAGAATGTTTCGCTTTAACGATATTTTTGCTAAAAAATCGAATTAATTACACAAATTATCATTGAAAATAAAATAAATAATAAATAGAAGATTGATAAATATGATATACAGAGAGAATAAGAATAAGATTAATAAATAATTGAAGACTAATGAAAATTAATATACTGAAAAGGATATTTATTTAAAATTCCGAAAATTCGATGTATTTGTCAAATGGAATTTGTCATATTGCGTGCTCGCCGCGATATTTCGAGTTCGTCACAGATTGTTGCAGGATTAACCGTGCCAAACATTTCGAAATCGCACACACAAACGGAATACCGTTAAAGACAATTTTTTCGCACGGTCTGTTAACGCGCACGCAAGGAAACGCGAACGAAATGTCGGTAAGAAAATGCTAAGATATCGCGAGAAAACTTTCGATACCGTTGCTCGCAAAGATGTTTCACAAAGGAGAGTTGGGAATATTTAAACGTCGATAAAATTGCCCGGAGAAAACCGGAAAGTAGCAACCTTGTGAGTATTCAAGGTCTTGGGTATTACCAGACTTCGGAATTGCACAAGTTATGTACTTGATAAGTATGCATTAGCACAAAACCTGGTATTGAGAATCTTGGTAGAAAATTAATTTTTGTTTATGCTAAAATAAACGTCAGATTGCGATGTCAATCACGTTTGTATGCCAAAAAGATCAAAAGTGAAAAAAGTTAAGCTTGAAAATAAATAAGAAGACTTTGCTCTTTCGTATTTCGCGAATAAGCCTTTGTTAACTTAATAAAATATTTAATTTGTGATTAAAGATGAATCATATAAAAAATTAAAAACTCGATAAATTTAAGTTCGACGAATTTCTCAAGGGATTAAAATTCGATTTATCCACGCCTAAACGTATCTAATTAATTTTTAATAATTAATAATTCTTATCAAATGTCGAATTTAAGTAGATCAAATTAGCGAATAATGGAAACTTTCTCGAGCTATTTTCATTCATTCCCATAGCAACGAGCTAACGATCAGGCAGCGAAATTTCGAAATTACGCTCGACAAGCCTGCGCATTCGCCATTTCTATTTCATAAGCTGCGCGACACGTCTAGAACGTCGCAGCAAGCTGCAAATATTTACCCTAAATTCGTGCGCCAACGCACAAGCATAGTTGCATAGCATTTTAATCGGAATTTTAGTTGTCTTCGTATATATATTTGATAAAATTATATTACTTTCTCCGGAAATTAAGTAAGCATAATTTTAATGATAAAAAATCCATACTTTTTACACTCTGTTTGCCTACAATTATTTTCAACTTTCGACTGCTTTTAATTGTTACGCTTTACATCGTTATAATATTGCTCTCGAAAAAGCAAAGAGTTAATACAATGCAAATAAATAATTTACGTATAATTTTCTCATTTCTAGTCTTAATTTCTCTTATTCTTTATTAAAATGATGAAAATATTACATGCAGAGAATTTTCTCTTAGAATTTACCCTGATGAATATCATGGTAATCGTGGAACAATATGGTATTGGAAGAATTTTATAAGAGTTTCTCTGATTAATATTTACAATAAAAAATACAATAAAAAATATTAATATGCACATAGTAAATTTTACTATGTACATGGTAAAATTAATCGAACACATTGTGATAGATATTAATATTTTTATTGTGGTAAAAATATTAATCAGAGAAACTTATAAAAGACTTCCAATATATTACACATTGTCCCACGATTACCATGATTTTCAAGGTAAATTCTAAGAGAAAATTCTCTCTGTATTTTAAGTTATATTTAAATGAACACAGCACGACTAGAGATATATTGAATTAAGGAACATTAATATGTAAAGATTCTGGAATAACTTAGGACTCTCTCTAGAGTGCAGTCGCATTTGATCGAAGGTTCAATTTTCGATTCGTGTCGATATTTTTCTCCCGATCAATGTCTACAGGTAGAAAAATACTGTCCTTCGAATACATGATTATCTGTGAAATGAAAGCTTAAGTGGGTATTTGAAGCGCTACTATATACGCGAACACTGTTATATACAGCAACCTTTAAAAGGTCAGAGCTCGTTTACTGCTCCGATAAAGCAAAACGCACACAACATGCATAGAATAAGGTTCCAAATATAATATAATAAATATATATACAATATGATAAATATATGATACAAATATATCAAATTTCATTGTAAATATGTGATAGCAAAATAAAATCTAATAATCGGGAGCCAGAATAGCTCTGTTTATTTCTTCTTTATTTAAATATTTACGCAGTTATATGCGTGATATATTTAAAGTGTTTTATTGTACACACAGCAACTGTAGGACACTCGAGTTATTTTTGGCGAAACAAGAAAATGTGTAGAAAAAATGTTTCCAATTCCATCCCGATCGTACCGGAAAAAAAATCACGCTTTTAAAATGGAGCAAAATTGTAGCTCACAAGGTAGATAAGCTAGATGTAGAATGGAATGTGAATCACATAGTGGCCTCGTAGAAACATCGAGAACTGATCTACTCCAAACATCTTGCATCTCGAGGCGACGACCTCGAGAAACCCGAATGAGGCATCAAAAACCCCTTCGCAACAATGTTGCAGAGAGAAAGAGAGAGAGAGAAACGAGAAGCTCTCAGCTCTTTTTTATTTCTTCACTTCCGTTTTATTTCTTCACTCGTTGTTAATTTATCGAGGACGAAACTTCCGATGGCGGAAGTCCTTTTGGGCAATCCCAAATTCCGTTTTTCGGCTGATCGCGATCTCGGAGACAAAGAAGAATCCTGCTTGCATTTTTCACGTTATCGGAGTTAAAAGCAACGCGTGCGTCGGTGGAAAATTTTTGATCGTCGCGCTGGATAAATAGCGGATATTATCTCTCCGCGCTTTGTGACGTCAACCACTTTCGACTCGTCTGGATCGCGTCGGTTTTGACAGAGACCGTTTTGTAGGTTCAGTTCGATCGACATATTCCTAATAGCACAACATATCCAGAAAGATATTCAGAGGACATTGACACATCCTCAGGATGCTCTCTGAACGTTTTTGGGATATGTGTGCTGTTAGGTATACATATACGCAGAAGCATATTATAGAATGTAGAGTAACTCACCTTGAGACGTTTGAGCTTGCCGTCCCTCGCAGCATTGTACACCACGCTCTTAAAATCCATTTTCACATACTCCGGGGCCTACCGTCACGTCGGCTGGACTAACTTCCTCCACCTCCTCTTCGTCGCGAGCACCTCTTCGTCGTACGTCGAGTGTACACGTAAATTCCCTCTTGTCGACGTTCAACGTCGGTTTCGATGTCGTAGACACCCCGGATCGCGGATCCGTCCAGAGATCCGCGCAGAGCGGCGGTTTCCCCCTCTCTACCTACCGGTAAGAGCAGAAAAAAAATCGGCGTCACCTTTCGCTCGTGCAAAAGTGTCCCGGGACGCGAGACGAATCGAGGAAAATTGAGAGGACGATTGCGCACACGCGGTATATAAATCTGTCTCTTCTAAACAGGCGACGGGATACTACAAAGACCGTCGCCCTCGGCCGCGTTTTCCTTCCGTTTGCTCTCGCTCGTCAGGTGGCGGTACCGATCCGATCCGGCTCACGCGACGGTTCGTCAACGACTGACTCCGAGGTCGCGCGCGCCGCCAAGCGCGCCGCGCGGGAATCGATCGCCAGTCGATTCGATACCAGCTGTGCGCGGCTCGCGCGCGCTCGCTCGTCGTCGCGACGCCGCCGACGCATGCGCCGCGACGCCGCCCAAGGCCGAGCTCGCGCGTCGTTCGAACGAGAAAATCTCTCTTCTTTCGAACCGACACTCTTTTCGCGCCCGGTGCGCTGCGCCGGAAAAAACCCGCGATGGTCCGCCGGATATGTGGATGTGGACTCTTCGATAACGACGGAGCGTCTATTTCATTGCGTCCCGACGCCGACAGAGCGCGCGGCATTCGGCAATCTCGAAGTGTGAAATTTCGCAGGATGAAGTTGCAAAATATGATATATTTCTTTCTCTTTCTCTTTCTTTCTCTCGCGTTTCAAGCTTTATATTCTTATTAATTATTTAGTTTTTATTGTTTTTTTTATTGAAGGAGAGCTCCGGCTTCCGAAAAATGTATCTCGAAAAATTTATATATCAACGAAAAAAATTAATACTTTAATTAATACGAATCATCGACACGATGAAAGAGAAGCGTAATAGACGATGTAATAATTAGAAAATAATGCTCTCATTTTATCAAATGTCTCAATAATATCTGTCAATAATATCTCTTAACATAAATACAGTACAAATATCACGCACATACGCGCAAGGCAATTAATGAATCAAGTAATTTACTCACGGATGAATAACTCAAGCGGCTCGTAAACGGCGCCATGTTACATTGAAAGAAACTTCGGAGTCGTGTTCGAAAATCCGTACGTCAAAATGCAGAATTCGGCCGGCCAATCGGAGGCCGAGAAGTTTTGCGCTCTGATTGGGCAAGCGCTTCACCCTAGGCTTTAGGCGACTATATTTCCGAACGCACAATCTAGAATGCTGCTGCCCTCTACTGTACTTTCAATAGTTCGTGAACAACACTCGCGATTGTCGTTGAGCCGATCGCGTAATTAATTAGTGAGCGTGAGTAATTAATTAGTGTCCTCGCGTCGTTAATTATCAAATAAATCAGATCGCGTCGCGTGTCCCGATATCGCGATGATCGTGATCGATCTCGTGAGATCGAGATCTTGTTATTGTTGTGTCTTCGTTCCTCTCTTCAACTTCCTCGCGAATCGACGAGTCGGAAGTATTCTGTAAGAATATTAAATAATAGTGAAATGAAGTGCCCAATTCTGGAATAAGTGAGATATAAAATATAGTGAAGTGCCCAATTACGAAAAAAATTAAGGCGAGTGCAAGTGTTTTAAAGTTCTTATAAAGACAGTTTTCCACACAGAGGTTGGTTTCCTGCACAAAAAAATTGTTCCGGAATTCGAAGCACGTCGAGACTCGTGAAGAAAATCATCGAAATGTAAGTCGAAATGTGAGTTATTTTTTTCGCGTTATTTATTATAAAGCAATAAATTAAACATACGCTTATAAGTATTGACTCGATATCAAGCTAAATTATTAATATAGTGCATTTACAATATATTTACATATTGCGTATTTGTGTGCGTAAAACATGAAATTAAAATCCCTACAATTTGTAAATTAAAATCCGTTCCCCTTACGGAAATAATCGTTTAAACTTTCATTCATCGTTGATATAAATTCATAAAGGCTCCAAAATAAAAATATAGAGTCTGTCAAAAACATAATGCGAAAAGAAACAATTTAATTTTGCGCAACGTATTGTTTTCTCGTAATAGTTTCCGTACATATATTATACATACATATACGTACATACAATCAAAAATCTTGAAAATTTAATTTTACGAAAATATTGCAAAAATTCTTAGGTCCTGCGCACAATAAAAAAAATATTAGGAATAAATATTAAATATTAGGAATTATTTTAAAATCAAATCGAAAAACTCTGATATATAACTACAAAAATAAAAAGATATGAAGTCCTCTTACTAGTTTATTATTCCCTTATTCCACGACTTTGTATTTTTATATTTGAGTCTTTTCGATTTTATTATTTTAAAATAATTCTCATTTCTAATATTTAATATATATTTCTAATACTTTCTTTATCGCGCACCCTTCTTTATTTTCTTTGACGATCGAGATACTCATCATAATGCGAGAATCCATATTATCATATAAAACCTGTAAAGTTCTCCATCGATCTGTGTGACAACATTGATAATTTTTTCTATCTTCAGCTTTTCCTTCTATTTCGATACGATCTACATACTTCCTGTAAAAAGCGAATTATCGCTTCGAGACTATCGCGAAACGGTTTCGACGATAATTCGCGATATCACGTTCGCGGTAAAACGTATTCCAAGCCGGACGAGAGGGTGGGGATGGGGGGTTAACGGGTTGAATATTCCGCGTGCCGTCGAGATAAGACGGACCCTATTAGCCCCCTCTTTATCTTTCACGTAGCTCGACAGCCAACTTTTCCGTCAGAGCGACGATTATCCGAGAGCGGTTCGCGTGTTTCGCCGAGTTTTCCAGAGTTTCATATATAAGGATATAGTCGAAATATTTTCGTTTACAATGGATTATTTTCTCCGGATATTTCCGGATCGAAAGTACATGACAAAGAAAATTCACGAATCTTCAAACGAGATTAATTCTTTAAAGACATCAGGTATCAGATACACATAGTTGAATGCGCGATATTTCAAAGTTCGAGTAAGTCTTTAAGTGAAGATAGATCGATGTCGACCTTAAAGCGACGAAATTTAAGAGTGACCCCACTTTAAGATATTTCAAATTTGCATGCGTAGTCTTTTTTAGAATCGTTTCTAGTTGTTTGTAGTTGCACGGTTTATAAATTGCACTTGTTTAAAAAAATGATAAATAGTGAAATTTGTCAATCTTAAAGATTTTTTTATACCTGCTTTTTTTACGCGTTTCAGACATGTTTGTGGCTATCGAAATTTATATTGAAAAAAAAGCATATTTAAAAAATCAAGTTATTTGACAGTTTTACAGTTTGCAGTTAAATTTAATATTATTTTAATTTGCTGAGTTCCTATTATGCACATAATTTTATGTTTATGTCATCGAATTTCTATTATGTATATAATTTTATTTCACCGAATTACTATTATGTACATAATATTAATTTACTGAATTTCTATTGTGCACATAATTTTAAAAATTTGCCGTATTTCTTTTATATAAATAATTTTAATTCACCAAATTTCTATTATGTATACATAATATTAATTAGCCGAATTTCTATTATGTACAATTTCAATTATTTACATAATAGAAATACGGCAAAGTAAAATTATGTGCATAATAGAAATTCAAGAAATAAAATTATGTTCATAATCAAAATTCGGCGAATTAAAATTATGTACACTTGCCGATTATATTATTTACTATTATTTACGCGTGGAAAACTCCCGCGCGTAGTAAGACATGAAATCGGCCGATTCTGACGTGACGTCACGACTCACGACGTACTTCAGCCAGCGCTGCCACCGGTCAGTGCGAGTCTACCGGCGAAGGAGCAGGGTGCGTGTCGCGAGTGCTCCGCGTCTCGTTTGGATTTCGTGCACGAGTAACGCGAACGGGAGTGTCGTGTTTCAACGCGATGGACCGAATAATCTTCTTGAAAAGCATCCGGGTCGACGGAGACCCGGGAGTTTCGGCGGATCGCGATTGATGGGCAGGGGAAGGGAGAAGGACGTTCAGCCGCGATTTTCGCGTGTATTTCGGCGCTATTCGTTCGCCAGAGAGCCTCGCGAGAATTCTTTATCGTCTCGAAGGTTATCTCGGCGTCGACGGGTGTCCGGGAGTTTCGAAGCATCGCGAATTCGTGGAATTAGCAAGCTGTGGGAGGGGGGAGGAGAGGAGGGAGTTGCTTGAGATATCGTTTTCGTCTGTATTTCGACTGTATTTTGACATGTACGGTGACTCTCGTGCGGTATTTCGGCATTATCCGCTCGGCGAGAAGTTCCGCGAGTGCTCCAACATCTCCAGGAGTACTCGAGTATCGGAGAAAGTGTCCGAGAAACGCGAATTTATCGAAACCAACCGTCGTTTCAAATTGTGAGAAAGTGGCGGCCGTTGCTTGAGATATTTGATACCGTGCCTATCCGTGTAACCGTCAGATGGCGCGCAGTGTCGCTCCGCCATGACACCTTCCGCTCACTTCGCGATGTCACGGAAAGACGCGGCGCGCCGAGAGATATCACGAATTAATTTAAGGGTATTTCGATGCGTTTAATGTGATTAATATTCGTACGCTCGCTTTCCCGGAATCGGAAATGTATTTTTTTTAATAGATATTTTGTTTGTTTTTCTTCGCGAATGCAATATCGAACGTGATCGAGCGGGATCAAAAGTGCCGAATGCATTCGTGAGTGATCTTATTTTTTTTCGTATCGTCCGTTTATTTCGAAATGCATCTGTGTGTAGTGATTTGCGATAAATAATTATTGCAAATATAAAATAATAGAAAAAAAACAGTGCAGTGATCAGTGCCAAACCATATGGGATTATAGCAGAACAGCAGTGGAACATTAAAGCGGATATATTAAAGCAGAGAGATTTAGATAATCGACTCAACGTAATGTGAGTTTATTGTTTACGCCACATTGTTCAGAAAATTATAATTGACTGTTATTTTTAAGAATATAATAAAAAATTATATTACGTTAACATATTTATAATTAAGAAATATAAAAAAATTTTTGACATTAAAAATAAAATTATAAAATATATATACCTATATTCGCGACATCGCATTTAACTAAATTTAATTATTTTAATTATTTTCTCTTTCTATATATATTTAATTTAATATAATTATTTTTAGTGTTAAATTAACTAAATATAAATATTTATTAAAAAATTATTTAGTTAATTCAGAACCGTCTTATCATGCAGTGCACTGAAAATAATTTGTTTACTCATCTAAATCTTTCAACTAAAGTACTATTTTATTAATTGAACATATAGTATAAAAGTCAAATATGTTTTGTTAGATTTAATATGTTATTATTTAATTTAAATATTTTTATATGTATATTCAATTATTGAAATAATAGTTTGTTGATATAGGTTTAATCTAGTTAACAAATTTTTTTTCAGTGTATTACATTAAACAAAAATATTTTCATTTATAATAAATTATTTTATTAAAATTTACTAAAAGAACATTTATTTTGTAACTGCCACCTAATTTTATATTACTATTTATTTACTACAAACATGAATAACCTAATGATATCATTAATTTAAAAAGTTTGTCATTTTCTTGTCGAATTAAAAAAATATTAAATTTTGCAATTTTAACAAAATTGCCTAATTATAAAAACTGTTATCTGTGAATAATTTTATTTTTTTGTTACCATTAATATAATTTTTTTTCAGTGTATTATTGATTCTCTATTAGTAGTACATGCAACTTTGTCAGTATATTTAATCGATTGTATTTATATATGTGAATCAATGAGAGATATTTATGTATATATGTGTATGTTTGTACAATTTCTCAATGACCTCGCGTGTACTTCGTATAGGTATCGATTTTCTTGACAGTGCAGAGTCTGCGAAAAAGCCATGTAACATGCATTGCTCGCTATAATTGCCGACTAAATTGTTACGGACGAACTCGAAGAGCGTCTTGTTATTAGTCACGCGACAAGAAAACGCGGGAAACGATGTTGTACGGCTTTTGCTTTCGTGCGAAAATTATGCAAATTATAAGCAAATCGTTGAGCGCGTCATCGCGGAAGGAAATGTCACTCCGACAAGTCAATTAATTTCCGAACTTTTCTCGATTGATCCGGTAAACGATTGACTACGCGAGTTTTTGTTCAATATAAGAACGATGTAATATTCAGACCTCGGAATTCTTGAAATATATATACATATCGCACAAGCATTATTATCATTAATAGTAATTATTATTACGTCACAATATTAACTATATCTTGGTAAATAAATTATTTCTTATGCAATTATACGTAATTCACTCTGTTATAAATTCTCGCAGCAAGGTTCGTAAATTGTATGTATATCGTATACGTATATATTATATTAGTCTCTATTAAATATAATATATATTATATGTATATATATTTTAATTATATAATCTTAAATATAAATATTATGTAAATATTATATATAATAGAGATTACGTAATAAAAACTATTTAATCAAAATTGAAATTCTTTTATGAATCTGACATCTTTTTTTCATATATACATACAATTTCGATCTTTCTCATCGTTGCTGCAACAAATGCAATTGTTACTTGAATTCGGCTTTATAGTACGAAAGTTGGCACATATATTTTTTAATATCCACATGTTCATATATCCCTCGAGGGATAAGAGTTCCCACGACAGAACAAATTATCTCCTGCTCACGCCATCGCTCGCGTAACTCTTTTCCGCGTATATGTATGTATATCCCTTAGCGACCGCGGAAGTGTATTTACAAAAGATTTCCAATTGTATTTACTGCTGTTTTCCCGTACTTCCTCGAAGTAACTCCCCCACATTCGCAAAGATCCTTCTTCTTCGCGCGCGCACACACACACACACACACACACACATACAAAATACACGCATGTTCGACGGCAAATGGTTAACGCTATAGTATATGTGCGTGCAATAAATATGCATGTGTGCGTGATCAAAAGTGCTGCGGCTTGCGGCTGCCTCAAAAGAGGCAGGAAGAGACGGACGGACGTCGATCCCGCACTATCGGGCGACCACATTCTCGCAAATTGCGACATCGCACCGCCGACACCGAGGCCGAATGACAATAAGTCGAGTCGGGAGCACAAGCAGACGCGCGTTCGCATCGCGATCACGTACGCGTAGATTAGCGATTGTTTGTCCGGTCCGCGACGCGTGATGACCGACTACGAACTCCGTCGCGATCGTCGGCTACTTGCTTATCGCGAGTCAACTCTCACTGTACCGTCTCTATAACAATAAACATATGTGCTAAGCATTCGCAATGATAAACACGCGATAACGTAATAGTCCGTTCGAGAACTGATGTTTATTTTTTTTTAATCGCATCTCCTTACTGTGCAAGTGTTAAGCTTAAACGCTCTGCGAATTTTGTGCACAGAGAATTTTCTCTTAGCATTTTTATTATTAAGTAATCTCTATTAAATATTATATAATATTTATATTTAATACACAGAGAGAATTCTCTTAAAATTAATCCTGAAAATCATGGTAATCGTGAGACAATATATTGTGGTATATTGGAAGAATTTTATTAGAGCTTCTCTGATTAATATTTGTCACAATAAAAAATATTACTATCTATATACACAATAAGATATAAAATATATTTGATTAATTTTACTATGTACATAATATTCTTTATTAATTATATAGAGAAACTCATGAAATTCCAATACTATAGGTATATTGTCTCATTATTAGCATGATTTTCAGAATAAATTCTAAGAGAAAATTCTCTTCGTGTATATGTACGTTTTTCTGCGCATTTCAAGTAAGAATTTTTATTTAAAATTTTATGAAAAAAAATATATATGATTGTCGTGTGTAAATGGATGTATGTCAAATGTACAAGCTACATATTACGTACAATACGTATGTATGTTATAATGAGACTAATTTTCCACACACATGTATGCGTATAAACAGTCAATTGTGGTCGAAATACAATGGGTAATTCTCTCACGGTAGAAATTCTGCGTAAATCGCAATGATAAATCATGATGCGTGGGTGAAGCTTGAAAACGACGTATCTGATATATCTGGAATACTTGCCAATAAACCAGGTACTTATTTTCTAACGATGCGTTTTTCGACACCGATGCGTTTATCCATTAACATCTAATTCGCTAATTTATCTCACCGCATTTAATTATATCTACGATGACCATCCACCCTTTATTTCAAATATATAGATGTCCTTTATAGATTTATTCATTTTTTAAAAACTCAATTTTGTCCTTTATTTTAAAAATTTTGTCTTTATTTTTTATTCAGCGTTTTAATGTCTAGTCTAATGTATTAACATGAAAATTTGTGTGAAAACGGAATCTCTTATCCAGAATCTATCTAAGAAACAAGAATTTGTTTCAATATATAATTGAATCAGTTTCAAACTATAAGAATATGTAAACTTTTGATAGTCACAGAATTATTTTTTTATTTTCAGACTTGTCCTTTATTGCCATAAAATATGCTCATCGTAATTATATCATTGAGTATATATTTTTACAAATTAAACTTTCAATGAAATCTTTTTTTAGTTTTCGAATTATAATATACATTTCATATACTTGTATACCTAAATACTTAATTTTTTCACACCTTCGAATTGATTCTTACGAATTTCAATATCTCCGATTCCATTATCTTGTCTCGAAACGAAACATGATGCAGCATCGCGTATCCCGTCGATTTCTATTCATGATCGATCACGCCAGCGAGGAAGACATACATCTCGCGACGAGATGCGCAGGAAAACGCATCGGTGCAATAGTCGCCATCTCTCTTTCTCTTTCTATCTGTCATCCCGCGTTCTCTCACTCTCGCCCCCTCTCGCGCTCGGCGTAGTATTGGAATTTCGAAAAGCCGGGCTGCTCAGGTAGACAGCCCTGATTTAGAGCATCCCCCCCGGGTTGGCGGGCGTTTAACCGAATCGAGGATTCATCTCTCCTCGCGCGCGCCCTCAAAGCAACGCGGACGCGATGCATGAGCGGTGTGTAATATGATGAGCGCCACACGTACGCGCGAACTTTACACATACGTATGCACGCATGTATATATATATATATACGTTCCTTCGTATTCCGCCACTCCTGTCCCCCTCTCTCCCCCTCTCGCATCCACACGCTCGCGGCGGTTACACCCACGCCGAGCTCTCTACTTACGTTGCCGGTTGACTCGTGTTGTCCGGCGCTCTCCGCCACTTTGACTCTCGCTCCGTCTCTGTCACTCGTAGTCGAACACACACGTATATACATATACGTATATATATGTATATATATATATCTACATACAGCCCGACATTCGGCATTCCCGTTGCACCTCTGTGGATTGCGGGGGCGCGAGAGGGTAAGAGAGAGAAAGAGAGAGAGAGAAAAAGGGGAATGGGACGGACACGAGAGACCGAGAGAGCGAAAGATTAAGAAACGCGGCGGCGCGACAAAGAGAGACGATGACGACGGGTGGCGGCAACGAGCGCCCTACAGAGAGCACGGGGTATATCCGTGGCACGAGAGAGAGAGAGAGAGAGAGAGAGACAGAGAAAGAGAGAGAAGAGGAAGATGGTCTCTGTGGCAAGCGCGCGCTAAAGCAGGGGTGTCGATAAAGAGTTTTCGAAACTTTTCTTCACACACGCACGCAGCGACAGAGAATATATATTAAATGCACCGATACGAGTTCGCACTCGCGTGCGCTTGATCCCACGTGTGATTGAAGATTGCCGGCACAAGCGGCCGTAGTTAAGTGACATTTATGTTTGACAGTTCGCAAGTGTCAAATTTCAAAAATGTATTAACGCGAGATTTTTATTTAAATTTTAAATTTTCAATTGTTCTGAATGTTATATATTATTGTTATATATTG